GGTCATCGTAACTACTTTCGGTACCTCTAATAAGCATTATTAGCCAGTACTTTAATCAGCTTTAATCTTATGCGGAGTAGAAATATGAATAAATAAAATAAAGATAAACCAAAACCTTCAAAGATCAACTCACTTCAAATATTTCGCAATGGTGAAATAGTAAAATCAGATCACCAAAAGAAGCTATAAGTTTAGTTTAGATTCGAGATGTAAATAAATGAAAGTGGAAAATATGGGCCGCAGATTTAGTTGTATTGATAAGAATTCGTTCTGAAAGTGCTTAAATGAATATTCCTATTTCTGAAGAATTAATTTTGCAGTTTTCTCGGTACAAGCTTCTGGAAGAGGTTTAATGTTATTTCAGAAGAGAACAGAAGTTGATTTTAAGATTTTAGCGAACAGTTCATCATCATAACATTAGATGTATTACATTATAATTTACATACTCTTTGGATTCTCAGTACTTTAAATTTAAACATACATGTACTTGGATTAAAATTATAAAATTTTGGAATATATTTTCTCCTGTTTTCATTGTAAAAGGGGCAAACTGAAGCAAACTGGAATTGAAAGAGAAAGTGTAATATTATCACAATGATTTATTTTTTTTACAAGACAGGCGACAACCAAACTTTGGTCCAAAGCTAGGAAGGTTCTCATAGTGGCTTACTTTTTTCCCATGGTAGCAGATACTTTCTGTAGTCAGTTTGACGGATGTTCTTACAGATTGTCAACACTTTTATTGCTAAGAAAGAAAAATGGGAGGTCAATTGACTTTATCAACAACATAACACTTTAGATAATATCATGACACTTGAATAACAACTGACCATAACAATTAATTGTAATATTCTTAATTACTTTATCAGATTTGATATGGATCTGTAATCCCTAGTTACAGATTTAGTGTACCCTTATAAATGCATAGTAATCTCCCCCTTTAAATGTAACAAATCCTTTTAGTAAAAAGCTTAAACAAAAATATTATCATCCCTAAAATATAATGAATGTAATTCCATTCTCATAAAATACCAGGTACTATATGTGCCCCTGTATTAAGCATTTAACTGTGATGTATTATTGAATGGGTTTAACATTACATTTTCTGTCCGTTGCGTTCCATTTAAACGGTCTGTTTTTTTTTTTGGGACATGCCTTAACTTTGTCATTGTTTCTGAAACTTCAACCAGAAAAACAACACTTGTTTTTCTGTTATTGATTTTTGTAATTTTGATTTTGCAGCACTTAAAGAACCAAAGTAATTCTTTACTAAGAAAAGTGCCATCATGTTTTTCTTTTGTTGATACTGTACATGTTACACCTTCATACATTGTACACATAAAATACTGAATAAATATAAATTCAACTTTCTTCTTTTATTTTTTCATTCATTATAAACATTTGAGACTTCATAATGAAAGATACATTTCTGTTCTTAATCAAATCACAAATCTCGTTTTAATAGTGTATTAAATATGTACGGTAAAGGGAAATGTTAGATTGGACTTTCTACACATTAGAACTTGTCAGTAACGACCCCCTTTGTATTAAAATGGTCTGACAGAACAAGTTACAATTTTATAAATGTTCCTTCAATATATTAAAGATTTTTCTTTGTATTGCTTCAAAATTGTCTTTTATAATCAAGTTTGACTGCAAATATAATTATATATTATGTATTATTTTAAAGCTAATTATCATAGAATTATGGAATAACGTAAGAATTGTTACATTTGAATACGTTCATTAAATATCAATCAACGTTTATTATATACACATATATGTTATTATGATTTACTTATATATTCACTGTCATTTTGTCTATATTTGTATGACGATGTATACTTGTAAATGCCAAAAATAAAGTATCTGTTCTGTTCAGTTCTAATATCAATGAAGTAGATTATTTTTTTTCCTATCTGTTAGCCAAGATTGAAATAATGGAAGGATATAGCAAACACCTGAAAATCAGATAACATATGAAACAATGACGAACACTTATAAATAAATCTAAACAATTTTACACCACTTAAGACTGATTGCAATTTGGCACCCTTTACTTCCTTTAATGATGTATAGAAATTAATCGAACGGAACAATATGGAAAATTACAGTTGAATTACAAAGTTATGATAGCAAGAAAGGACGGTGTTAAAGTTCTCACTTAAATTAAGAACCTGTTGACATCTTATAAAGTTTTTTGTTAAATAAACGTTATTGTCCTACAATTAAAAATTTAATCGGTTAAAATTGGAAGTTCTTTTAAAAGAATTTCAATAATGATTGGTAGCAGAAAAAATATGTAAAATGTTATATTGGTGTCTTATATCCTTGATTTCTGGTGTTTAAAAAAAAAAAAAAAAAAAAAAAAAAAAAAAAAAAAAAACAAAGCAGTAACGAAACTGCGAGTTTTAGAATTTTATTACATTTTACATGCACATAATGCACATTATATCATATGTATAAAAATGAACGTTTTGTATGTTTATGCTGGATAAACTCTGGAATATCAAATCTACACTGAATATAGTTTTAAGTTTCAGATTCTGCATTTGATCCACATTTCCTCTATCGTGAACCAACCAAGCCTCCCCTGTCCCCGTTTGCCCCCACCAAAAAAGAAAGAAAGAAAAAAGATTGTGTTCATTAAAGTTGATGTGATTTTCTACTTTAAATGTTACATTAAAATAATATTCAAATTTTCTTGTTGTTTGTTACACAATATATACATGTAACACCACATTCCTGGAGGAAATATTTTTCAAGATAATGATAGACACTTTTTTCATTGAGATAGATACAGGGCACAAAAAAAACAACAACATTTAAAGAATATCTAATGCTTAAAATTCATATAGCGATATTTTACGCTTAAAACTTAGTTTTTTAAAAAAGTGTCTAAATTCTGTAATATTATATATATAATTATATTTTGAGATTTTTTTTTAGTATTTCTAATGAAGTGGGGGTAAATTTGTTAATAACTGGTATTTAAGATTACTGGCGATAATTATTTGTCAATATTTACACAACAATTATAGTGTCACGTTTCTAAATGTTTTCATTACTTTCCAAATATTGAAATAACTTGAATGTAGATCTTTGTAGAGAAAATATGTGACTTATGAATTGTTACTTGTCAGTTAGAGATCCATTTTATCGTAAGAAAAAACAGAAACAACAACAATGACAACAACAAGAAAAACAAAAATACAATACTGTTTGCAATCAAGATTTTATTAGACACGCTGTTTTATAAAAGTACGGTCCTTTGCTCCGAATAATTGAAAAATATACAGATGTCGAATTTTTCTCAAATACAAACATTGCCGTTATAAAAATATTCACCATAAAAAGTAGACAAACAATGCATACACATTTGATTTTGTACATATTTCTCCATAAATGAGCTTTATAAAGCCTACCCTTTACAAGTTGTTCCTTATAATTTTCATATTTTCGTTTCAATATCGGTACTATTTCTTTGATTAACTTTAGTCTTTTGTAATATTTGTGTGCAAACTTGATCAAAAAAACAAACCGTACATGAACTAATGGAGGTTTGCGAAACAGGCACCAGGCTCGCTCGGTCTGGACACCTAAATAAGCCATGTTGGCGGGTTTAAATCTTTATTATGCGGAATCAGACGTATAAATTTTGATATACACTAACGATAAGTTAGGATTATCTATGTTCATTATAACAGTGACCTTACAAAGGCTTGATTAAATTTAAACCTTCTTTTCAAAGTCAGTTCTCCATTGTCTAATAGTAATTTCATTATGTACTGAGTCTTTCAGAGTTAATTGTCTGAGAGGAACTGACGACGTTTCAATTGCAGCTCACTTCTTAATCCTTAAATTGGATTTTATAAAAACTTCAAACGATATTTTTAATTGGTGGTCCTAGACATGGCTATGTTTTATCGGCCAAGAGAGCGCCAGAAAGAATAAGAAAACCCAGCACATAGCATATTTTTAAGAGGATTCACCAGTTAAACATCCTACTAAATGGCGAGCGGTTTTCGAGCGGCCGTCCTTTCGGCGGCAGACCGTCAACACAATATAACCGTTTAGGTAGGGGCAGTTTAACTTTTTGAAAAGGTGTACTTGTCTATTATTGCTAATACGGTCTAATAAATGGTCTTGGTTTACTAAATAACTAGTAACGGAAGACATTGTCGGACTGTTTGATGCCTATCAGGTTAATCTTAAGCGGCACAAGGAGAGCTAAATCTTATCATTTACTATTAAACTGTCTATATCAGAATTAATATTGCGAACTAGAGTAGAATAGCTTATCCAATGTGATTTTCTACAATACAATCAGTAGTTAACCCTGTGGCTTTTTTACAAAGTAATCTTTTCAGAAGATTCATAACACTGTGTCAAATTAAGGTAATGTACTATTATCAACAAATAAATTTGATTTTATCTCTTTTCCTTTTCCCCTTAGTACCCAGGGGGTGGAGTCAAGCAAGGGGATAGTTTCTCTCCTGTGTTATTGTACACAATTATGACAATTCACGCATTTAATTTTCAATTGATGGCCACTTAATCTTTAGGGCAATTATAACTTGTTGATTTTTACCAATTTTGGCACTTGGCGCCTCTGGACGAACACTACCCTAAATAATTGATTGACCAATCAGAGAGAGTTTATTTTTTAAACATTGAATTGAATGGTCAGATTAAAATCAAGATAAGAAAATCGTCCATCGTTAATTATAACACATTTTAGAGTATTTATATTCTGGCTAAAATGTATTTTTCATCATTACTCGAACAGCTATCAATGCATTCACTACAAAGTTCATAAGAAAAATATACGTTTTAAAAAGAAAGTTGATGCATATATTTATTTAGACTTTACTGTTTTTTCATAAAGTTATAAAATAAATTATTCCATTCACTGGATAAATAGCGAATTGGAGATAAAAAAATTCTGAACAGTTTTGAACATTTTGATTTATGATATTGTTCATTGGATTTATGCAAATATGATTGAGGAAGTAAAATCTTCGAGTGAAAAAGTGATGGACATGAAATCACAAGCGAACGATAAGGGGCCATCTTTACAGGAGAAGAAACCCCTCAGCTTCTCCATCAACAGAATTCTCGGAGATACAGACGGCAAAAAATCACGTGATACAGTACGCGATGAAGTGCCAAGAGTTCCCAGAATGCACCTGTCAACAGTTCATCATTATGCACCGGATATTGATGGAAACACTAACTCCAACTTTTTTGGAAAAGTTTAAATTTTAAAATAAAAAAATTTTTAAAAAATAATTCAAGTTTTTTATGAGTTTTGATCATGTCAATTTACAATACTTCATTTTTATGTTAAAATTCATTATTCACTTCTTATAAATATTTTGAAACTTTAACAGCTTTAACATTCGATATTCTTAAAGATTTTACGTGTGCATATAAATAGCAAATTATAAACATATTTTTATTTGGCATTAACTGCTGTATAATTGAGTATCGAACACAAATTTACCCGCAACGTGTTGCGCATTAATAAAACATTCTCTTTTTTTATCAGTTAAAATAATTGAAAATATATAAGTCAGTCTACCGATTATATATACATTATGTTTTACATTTCTTTTGATTCTACATAATTTTCATTTAAGAAACAATAAATTATTTTCTTCTCATTTGCAATAAAACTTTAGAAGTCGTTTAGCAGTTCTAATGTAGATCTCTGGTGCTTAAAAAGGAAAACGCATTACACTTGTTTTTATATTTTTGCTTTATTTGAAAAAAAGTTATAAGTTTTCCACAATATTAAAATGCCCGTTTCTTACAAGTCACACAATATCTTTTACGAAAGAAATGTTTATCAATTGAACGTTAATTAATTTTTTTAGTGTCTAATTGGAATATTAATATGATTAATATTTTTAATTAATTTCTTTTCCAGAATCGAACGTACAACCTAGAGCTTGCAGTACACCTGAAAATGAGTACCCATCCCCAACGCCAACAGTGTTTCATGCACCTTACAGACACCTGCACACTCGCGAGGAATCATTCAGCCCTGAAATTACTCATAATGCATATCCTTATTTCAATTTTCCAAGGGCAAGCAATGTAATTCTTTCACAAGAAGACCGACTGAGCCCGTCTGAAGTAAACACGAACTCATCAATAAGACCAACTGCTCATCTGCTGAATCAATCAAGTGATAAAAGTTTAGACTCTTTAGGAGAAAGCTATCAGCAGTCACCAAGTCCTTTCAAGGCGAAGAAAAAGAAGACAAGGACCGTGTTTTCGAGGAGTCAGGTTTACCAACTAGAATCAGCATTCGATATGAAACGCTATCTCTCAAGTGCAGAAAGGTCAGGACTTGCTGCCAGTTTAAATTTGTCCGAAACACAAATAAAAATTTGGTTTCAGAATAGGAGAAATAAATGGAAGCGACAAATCAACGGAGAAATGGACGAAATTCCACTACCACCAGCATTTGCAGCAGGATATTTACAGCAGACGCCATATGCACAACCGCCATCTTTTAGTTCATTTAGTCACGTGGTCAATGCTAGAGACGAATTATTGCGCGGAGGTTTTACTGCCCCGGCATATTACTCTCATCCTTACGCACAAGATTCGAGACTTCGACCTTCATTTTTACCACCAAAATAAAACATCATTGTGAACTTTTACTAATTATATGTACTGAGAAAGCTGCATAATTTACTACAAAATGTGTTCCTTGGCATTCATTTCAGTGTCTGACATGTAGTATGGCGTTGTTTTTTTTGGTGATTAATATGTCTGTTATTGTTGTTATTGTTTGTTACCATTTAAAATCATTGTTATTTATGTTTCATATGTGATATACATTAAAATTATGTAAATGCATAAAAGTTTTCTTTCCTTTATGTTCTGATAATTGTAACATGTTATCCTTAAGATTTTTGTGACGGCCGTTCATCATAAGTGGAATATTTCCAAGTTCTTAAAATCTCAGAAGATGTATGACGTCAAACCATAGACGCTACTGCGTTATATCCGTTTCCTGGTAACTGTTTCGTTTCTACATCTATAGTAGAACGTACATATACATATGTAGTGCATACTCTTATCTATATAAGAAAACAAAACAACATCATCTATACTTGTTTTATTTTTCCGTACTTAAGGATATTCCTTAAAAGATAAAAAACAACAACAAAAAAAAACAATTATTTATAAAAGAGGAAACAATTTAAGATACTAGAGCATGAGTAATATTTTGCATTAATTATATATGAAATATCTATACTACATGGTACATGTAGTAATGGAAGTAAGCTCTTAATATAAAGTGTAGAACGAGTAACACTTTAAAGTTAAATTTAAGAACAAAATTACAGTACTAATCTACTGCCTTGTAGAAAGTTGTTAAATTTATGAAAATGACATGAAAACGATATTATTATCCGGTTTCAAAACATTATAGCATTTATTCTTTGCTTACATCTGTGCCCAATTTAATTTTCGCTTCTTATATTTGAATGAATATTTAAAGAAAAAGAAAACAAAATGAATACTCTTGAAAAATTCAAAACGACGCTATAATTATCTCTTTCATTAAACTTCTGTCGGTGAAACTGATGGTACTTGATTTTTCTGTGCAAATCTTACTTCCTCTAACCAGCATAAAATTTGACTGGTTTTACGTTTATCACAAAAGTTTACTGGCTCTTTTCGTTTCGTGTCATTTTCACTTTTCGGTCTTGGTGTACATCCATACTTATTTACATGTTCGTTGGTAGTTATATGTCTGTATTTCGTATACAAAGAAGCATTAGGCTTTGGTCGAAATACTTTCGCGCCCCCTGGTGTTCGTTCAACTATCTGATCCTCATTGTCGGAGCTAAAGCTTTCTATTGACACAGATCCCGAAGAAAAACTTCTGCTTTTCGCATCGTAGACAACTGAAGGAACCGTTTCTGCTTCATTAATATGGCACGAGTCTGCCTCATCATTTGATTGGTTAGCACTCAAATTTATTTTATCCATGTCGTATTCTGTCCAGTCTGGTCGTGACGTAGTTCCAGAAAATGATCTAGATTTTCTAAGTTTTGCAGCAGTTTTATTTTGCGCGTTTTGATCTAACACGTTAGACTTTGTCTCAGACTCCATTTTTGTATGTTTTTCATTCTCAGCTAATCTAAGCTTTCTAATAAATGCATTAATTTGATACTTTATATGGGCTTCACCGTTATTAAGTGAAGCAACGTCGTTTCTATTGTTTTGACTGTTAACTGACCAGCGATTCCCTAAACGATTTGGTGTGCCTAAAATTCGCGTAGATGTTTGCCTGTCTAAAAATAATCTTCTTCCCGGTGCATGCGCTGTGGGAGAATACAAATTTAAAGACCCACGTTTCAATTCTGCACTGTTCTGATTTGATATTTCATTAAACTGCACACGTTTTCTACACGTTTTTGCCCTCACAGGAGATCCGTGCGGTTTTCCTTTACCCGTGCCAGTCGTAATCAAATTCGGTTGCGGTTCATGATCAGCTTTGTTCTCAGACTTAATGTTATCAAAATTGTTGTCAAATTTTTTCTTATGTTTTAATATACTTTTAACGGTTAACCTTGACGTATCATCAACGGAAGTTGTCATCTTTTCTTTTGGTGACGTAATAGAAAGCACGGGCTTCATACAGACAGATTTACTGGTTCCACTTAAACCGTCACCCGTATATGGTGACTTCCAAAATATATTTGATGCAGACATCCGGGCATTATTTGGTAAAGCCATATCAGTATTACTATGGAAACGATGAACAAACAGGTTTTCCTGGTTGCTCGGACTTATAGTTTCTCTTTTGACTTGAGTCACCTTTAGCATGTCTTAAAATCTTTGATGATGTTTATCCGCTGTTTTGATTCCATGACCTAGAAAAAAAAAATAACAATCAAAAACGGGAATGATGAATTCAACGAGTCTTTTATATTTGACCCGAGTTTACGATATGGAACGCACTACAATTATTCCGGAATGTCAAAAACATTAATTGTATCGTTGATTTTGACCCGAATGTTTAATGTGTTCTCTAATCCTATTAACAGAAGAAAGTTTTAATTTAACTTAGCGAGTGATTTGTGACATAATAATGTTTTTCAATCATTAATCGGGAGTTTATCGACAAACTGATCTCGCACCGGTTTGTATTTAAATACATACTCATATACTATACTTATTTTTACAAATATAATATTCAATAAATTCAACAAAATTTAGCATACTGATGGACCCAAACTGTCCCAAAGACCTTCAAAAAATGGGAAACAGCCTTAAATGAATTTATCATAGAATAGAACAAAGTACCAAAGCAAATGTAAACATTTTAATGTCTTATTTTCAACAAAAGACATATTTTTCGGAATATATGGCCATCATTACGATCAAACAAATAAAAACAAAAATTCGACAAAAGACACTCAAAATATTCCCATTAATTACATTTATTTGTTTATAAAATAAGATTCTATAATACTTCATTAAAATTGTCACGAGAGAGCTAACATACCAACACCATATATGGTAAACATAAACAATTCACAAAAATATGCGAAAAGTAAACACTTACCCTAAATTGAAGAGATATATTGACCTACTAACAAAGATTAACCCCTTTAAATATTTCTTATACTTTACAAAACAGAAATAAAAATGTGTTACATGTCTAAAAGCTATACTAACTGGCTATAATAAACCTCCCCTCTTGAGTAATTTGTACATATTCACCATATTGATAGTTTTCTTTATTAATAAAACATAAAAGCTGAAAGGTTTGGAGCGCCCTTGAAAAAATTACCGTATACAGTTAACTGATTTCAAATTAAGATATATTTTTGTTTCGGCTCAAACTTCTCCTTTAAGTAGATATTTTCCGATAATGCAGCCATTGTATAGATTCACCGGGGATAATAAAAATGTAACTTTGATTTGTAAAACAGATCTTATTGAACTTGGTTATAAATTTTTGATTTGTGCTCTCACTTCAAATTATGTTCATTTCGTTATATAATTGAACCTCCAGTTTAAAACATGAACAGCAGGATAACTTATTTCTAACTTTATATTTAGAACTTGAAAATGTTGTAACTTCAGACATATACAGGTCTTATAACTTTCGTAGACGAATAAGATATCTGACCAGTCCGTGTAACTAACTCTAAATTGATTCTAAAATTGATCTCATAACACCGTTTAGTGCACTCACATATCTTTTCAATTACAGCACAATTACTTTACATATTATTAAATGCTCTGTGTGTTTTTTGTGACACAGGGTTAAAGAGTAGAAAGATAGTATCAACTTGAGAAATGATAAAATAGAGGCATAACAAATAAATTTAAGATTTAGTAAAACGTAAGATTCCATATAACGTTGACGGAAAATACGTCACTCGGAGGTCTGTGGTCTATCGCTGAGCTAGATTTCTTGATGAGATATACTTGTAGTTCGCTTAGAAACTCTTTCGTAGTTTAAACCGTCTGGTTAACTCAATAGGTACAGAGTTGGTCTGTTAATCGGGTAACCTGGGTTCGATTCCCGGACGGTGCAAGTCACTTTCGTTGTGATTAATCAAGAAATCTTTTCTACAGTTATTCGCACTGTACCACTGCTCTAGCATGTAAAGAAGTTATCTGTTTCTTGCTTAAGTGAAGAAAACTAGTATTGTTAAACTGCTCAATAGCCTGCCCAGGAACGATGCGGTGGCTGAAATGTGGTCGGTAAATTCAATGTGGCTTTCTTCAGTGATCCAGAGGTTAAACTACCAACACCACAATCACCACTTTCGTATACATTGTATTTCAATCACCACAGTAGGTTCAAATCACGTCAGGGACGCTGAATTTTTATAGTGTAAAGCTATTCAGCTCGCGCTCGGGTCCGGAATATTGCTTGAGGGAACACTGGAGGTCCTTCTCCTTGTCAATGAATTAAATGTGTCGATATAACCTTAAACCCAACATTTTATTCGAAAAAGTGATAAAATAAGAAAAAAAGATCCTTTATTGAGAAGATATAACTTTTTATTTCGGTTCTTGTAAAGTTATTTGATATACACATGTAAAGTGTGTGTTAAGGTGATAAACGGTGAACATATAGATTAGATTCGTTCTTTAAAACAACAGCTTTGTTTAAACGTAAAATAATTAAATACAAGATAGAAATAATAAATTTGTATATAAAAAAGAATGGAATACCTTTTACGTAGTGAATATATCTTATAACCTAAATCCATTACAATAATACATTTTATCACATTTTTATTAAGAAAAAAATCAAAGTTTTGGAAGCAATATAGTATTGTCTTTATGTAAATGACACTGATAAAATCGTCTTTTAAAGCGCAATAATGGCAATTTTCTATATACCATCTCGGTATAACTTGTTAAGATATTTTTTGCAGATAAAGAGACGTGTATTTACCGATAGTCTATGTTTGAAAAATGGTTTACACTTGTCATTGAAGGTTACTTAATTATCTCGTTGATTGTTTGGCAAATTTGCTTGGGCTTACTGTGTGTCATTTAAACAAATATTTCTTATCAGGATACTTGTATATTATCATGGTAAAGAGACAGGATTGAACCTTTTTCTTTTTTTGTGAAAATTTTATAATATATCATTAAGTATGGTACGGAAAACAGTTTGTGCCATGTTTTATTTTTAAAGCTGATGAAAATATAAGCAAGGCTCACGAGATTCTTTCATATAATAAGAACGGATATGGTTTATTGCTTTGCATTTGCATATTATTTTAAAGGGACACCGAAACGTACTTCCGGTCACAGGGTTGATGCTCAAACAGTCTTTACCCTTCAATTAATTTAAATGATATTCTTGACTTATGCTATTTTTGTCGGTTTATGTTAATCCACTTCAGAACGTTATGTGGGCCACCTTCATAACTTCACTAATATTTACAAATCACACTCATAGTTTAAGGACATATATAATTAATTTAAAGCATGACATTTAAAATGAGGAAGTTTTGATGTCTTACCAAGTAATGCACCAAAGAATGTTTAACCGTTCAAACCGTGGCGAAGATTTGAGCGCATGGTTAAAATAATCGTTGTAAACTTTTTAAAAAAAAGTGAGTTGAAGTCCTGCGACTAAGTGAGCATGTTTGACTTGATGGTCGAATTTACTGCGCACATGAGTATTACAGATTCATTACCACTGTTATAATGATTTAAATGATGCATTATACTAATAACAATATTGTCACGTCATGTCAAAATAAGTATAAAGTTTAACAATTCATCAATTGCTCGTATCATTATGGCCCACTTCGCCTATTTCCGTACCTATTGGAAGCTAACCAAGTTTTCGTCGCTCCTGATCACGTCGACGCTTATCATAAAATGTGCCGATGATTTACGAGTTGGCGGTGGATGTACAATCAAAGATTAAATTGTCTGCACATAGATAAAGTTCTGGTTAAACCTGCAAAAAGTGCGAAGTGTGATCGATTTGAAAGGATTAAATAGACAAATTATCAATAGATTAACCTTTGTTTGGTATTCTGTATTGATATCCAATGGTTATTTTTCATATTTGTGCAATTTATCAAAAATATCAATTTACGTTAGATCAAATGTTTTTTACCACCATGTCCATAAATTAAAACTTATGCAGAACTTAAAGGCCGGAAGAGACGAGAAGAGCTCGGTGTTCTGTTAAAACTTTGAAATTTATGGAATGCAATAATCAGTCATTGGATAAACAGAACAGAACAGAACATGTTTCTCACGTTGCTTTATAAAGACTGTGCTTTCGGTCATATGGATAAGAATAAGAAAATCTTACCGCGCGAAAATGTTATTTTTGTTTCAACGTACATAGTTTAAATAAAAGGTATGTCAGTCATATAATGTTTTTTAATGACATGAAATACTAGCAACAAGGCAACCAAAAGCAACATCATCATCATCAGTAGCAGCAGCAGCAGCAGCAGCAACAACAACATTAAGACGCTACGCCATTGATAAAAATCCAGTAACTGCATATTTTCAGGGGTGGAGAGGATATGACATTAAATCAATTGTGAGTCATACCATACAGTCGGAACACCTCGACGATTTTTCTTAATAATCTCGGAGTAAATACCTATTGAAAGTAGCTCTATGCATAGATCCCTGGCCTGTCTAATTCTAATAATCAGATTAGTGGATACAATAAAAATTTCACCACACAAAAGAGCACAGGTTAAATGTATTGATATTCAAATAAAAGGTCAGAGTAAGAATCTATCAATTACGATACTTATGATGTAACCAATACATAGTGTATATCATTTGTATAATTTGTAACTAATGTTTTTTATTTTACATCCAACGTAATAAAGTCAATTTCTGTAAAATTATTATTGTTATGTCTGACAATCAGAAAGAATTAAAGAATGCTCAGACTGACTGAATTCCAGGCTTAATGAGTTCTATCCGCCCGTTAGAGCACACATTAAAAAAATGCACCTCAAATACGGACCCCGGACATGTTGCCAGACATGCCCTTGAATGACTTGAAGGATTAATTTTGAAACAAAGTGGTGATAATTTACCTCCATGCAATTTCCACAATTTTTAGGGTTTTTTTTAGCGTAGGTTAGACCGTAATACGCATTCTTTCGCTGAGTGTCCGAGGTCCTTATCCCAAGTTTGACGGACAGAAGATGCGTAGACACATGCATGAGTCGACAAGCTGTAAACGTATTTAGATATAGACAGAAAGGTATATGAGCCGCGCCATGACAAAACCAACATCCGCGCAGTCTGATCAGGATCCATGCTGTTCGCTATCAGTTTCTCTACTTGTTATATAGGGTTTGTAAGCGAAAAGTATGGATCTCGATCAGACTGCGCGGATGCGCAGGCTGGTCTGGATCCATGCTGGTCGCAAACGCATTACGTTGGTTTTGTCGTGGCACGGCTCATATCAAGTCATTTACATATCTTACTGTCGTGACATTGAATATCTTACTAACATCAGGAACAATTCATGTCTGAGATCATCAGCTTACATTATTTATATACCAATATCGATATGACAATTACAAATCAGATATCATTGAGCGCACAAATTGATTCCTGGAATTCTAGCTCTCTGCAGGGAAACGGAAATAACACGAAACCGTAATATTTGCTTAATACATAACATAACATAACATAACATAACATAACATAACATAACATAACATAACATAACATATCATAACATAACATAACATAACATAACATAACATAACATAACATAACATAACATAACATAACATAACATAACATAACATAACATAACATAACATAACATAACATAACATAACATAACATAACATAACATAACATAACATAACATAACATAACATAACATAACACAACACAACACAACACAACATAACAAGAAGAAGATAAAGAAGATTTTATTGACTTAAACTGTATTTTCTCGTCATAATAATTATATGCATTCATGATTGGTATGTTAAATATGTACTGTATAGATGACATATTTGCAGATTTCCACCTCTTAAAACCTTAACTACAATTTATCTAAAGTAGTATAAAATTGTTATTAAAATTAATTATAGAACAATTAAATTAAAATGTCTGCATCAGTTGTGTTTCTGTAAACTGTTATGATAATTACGTTTTGAATGTGAAAATAAATATGAAAATAGAATGTGATGTAATTCAGTAAAGAAAGTAGAGAGATGAATTTATAATAAACCAGAAATAGTCGAATATTATTGTATATTTCTTTTAAATTTAATCAATCTTAAAAAATAAATCAACTAATTAATGTTTATTTTAGCTAAGTGATAGTGATACAGGCTAAGTATAGCTTAGAGTCTGGCGCTGCACAACCACGCGACCAATTTAGTTTTGTAAATACGTACTTTAAATTATTTTTATAAATAGTCGATTTACAGTTTGTCGATTTACCAAAGCAAATGTGTTACGATTCATTTGAAATACTGCAATCCTATTGGACAAAAAAATAATTTCAAAAATTCAAATCCCTTTTTTAAGACGGCTGATTTTTTTAGGATAAAATGAGCTCTCAATAACTATTAACCTAAATGAAAATTTCCGATTTTCAAGTAGTAATCAAAGGGAGACAACTATAATCGTCCCGTCATAACTGCAAACTGATCTTAGTTCGAATTGTATAACATAACATAACAGAACATATAGTTTAATAGCATAATATGTGTTTACATACATACATAGCCATTTACAATGCAAGAAATACAGGCATGAAATTTTTAACAGAAGAACGTGATCAATTCAAAAAAAGGATAAATATATTGATAAAATGTACATTCAGTCAATTTTAAAAAAAAACGATACAAGTTATCTGCAACTGTGACTAGAGGTTTTTAATGGTTAACTTACTATAAAAAATTAAAAATAAAACTAGTAATATCATTTTACGAAGAACTGTCAAAAATTGTACTCGTTGGAAAATAATAATATTAAAAAAAATAATCAAAAGACACACTAGCAAAGTTACAATCCGAAATTGTAATAAAGAATTTTTGTATAGATTGAACAAAAAGCAAAACGTTGGCCATATTTTTACGTAAACTAGTAGACTCTTCATTCAAAACTTAATTACGGTGAAAAAATTGTATCATTTCGCTACGCTTTGTGACATTTTTGTTTTAGAATTAGGGTCATTTACTGTTGAAAAATTAAAAATAAGATTGGAAATATAATACATATTAGAAATATCATACGATACTGCTGGAAGGAATATTCATATAAAATCAGATAAAGTAATTAAAAGATTACAATTAATTGTTATGGTCAGTTGTTATTCAAGTGTCATGATATTATCTAAAGTGTTATGTTGATGATAAAGTCAATTGACCTCCCATTTTTCATTTTCAGCAATAAATGTGTTGACAATCTGTATGAACATCCGTCAAACTGACTGTAAAATTTTAATCTCAAGTCAAAAGATGGAGCTTATAGTCCAGTGATAACAAGTACTCCTCGACCAGAGCAATCATGGACTTAATGTGATATTGTGCAGTCTTCATTTCAGAAATACACTTTTACAAAAAGGAAGTGTGTAAATAAATGTAAATTCTAATTATCATACAAGGCAACACACAGAAAATTTGCATAAATAAAACTTAAGTCCCAGCATACACATGGGGAGAAATCTAATACCAAAGAATTCTCTTCTACCATAAATTTGCAAGTTGGTTAGCGTTATCTATATTATAATATTTATTGTTTCTCCATATCTACAGTATATGTAATATAATTTTATAATAATTTTATGTATTTAAGTCTCATTCATCTATATACACAAGTAAAATTCATAAGCAAAAATAAAACACAAAATAGTACATGACCATTCAATCATTGAATTATAAGAGACTAGTAAAACATGATAATAATAATAATAATAAT